ATGATACACCCTGAGCATCACTCCATGCCATTTTCATACTCAACTCGTAATCTTTTAGTATACTGACTAAAATATTATCATCTGTGCATGGAATATATCATCTCGACAGATAATACGACCTCCTATATACCATACAATAGAAATTGTACGCTCTTACATCCATTCGTCATCCATAAATTCGATTCCTCTTATTTTCATCTTATGTCAATGTCTATGCATCATCATCATCAACATGAGTCCTTAACAACAGTAAAAAGAAATCTAGAAACCGACAAAAAGAAATTTTCTACTTCGACTATTATTTCACATACACGTACGGCTTGTTTAAGCCATTTTCATTGTTGTTGCTGCTATCTCACACCCTCATAAAGCATCTTTTGCTTTCCATGAAAATCCTATGTACCATATTTTTTTCTACCTACTTTCATGACACTCAATGTATGAGAGAGCATGCATGAACAGAATGTGGTATATGTTGCTATTGCTTGTGCCCGATTCACATCGTTTTACTGCCTTTTTTGTGTGCTTCTTCTACTTCAGCCGCCTTTTTTCACCCCGTTCCTCAACTTTTTTTTTGTGCTGCTAATGCTCCTCTTCTGTCTTTCCATTTTTTTTTTATATTTCTCGGCTCCCACAAAAAAACATCACATCACATAGCATAGCAATGAACAGCATACAATGAGTGTGCTTTATACTCTTCTTCATGTCTAACCGTACCGTACATATATATGAGCATAAATGTGTATAGACTCACTGCTGTGCCTTTTTTTTTTTGTTGTTCAACTTATAGAATGTATACGAACGTACATAAAAAAAGTAGAGTCGAGTCGAGAACATTTTCATCGTTTGTACAATAAAAAAAAAAGGCAAAAGAACTCTGCGATATGTGTAGGATATAAAAATACACAAAACGTTCGTGTGCCAAAAAAATGCTGCTGCTTTTTTTTCGTTCTTCCTTTTCATCCATATCGTGAGGATTTTGAGTTGTTAAGCTCTTTTTCACTATATAGCATGTACGAGTTGAATATGAACAATTTTATTCCGTTTTATGTCCTCATCCTCTCCTCATGTGCATAACATCATTTTGTATTCAGTCAGCTACTAAAGACGAATTCGAAATATTTGTGGAAAATACCAAAAAAAAATGTTTGAAGAGCAAAAAGGTGAAAAATACAAAAAGCTGCGTAGATCAGTGACTAGCGACAAAGTCATGTGTAGTCCAATGTGGTTTGCTTTGTTGCGTATTATTTTTTTTTTGTCAATGGATGAATCGCTCGATATGAAATATCAAATTCGAAAATGAAATGAAGGCAGTGAATGGTGGGTGAAGTTTGTGTTGATTTTATGATAGGGTGTATAGTTTTTATTTTTAGAAAGGTTCTATTTGATTCGGTGTCAAATATTTTTTACCGGAATTGACATTTTATTTATTGAATATTGAACTTTTGTCTAGCTTTGTTCTTCATAAATGGGATGAGTGGATGTTTAAAGCAGTTTAAGGTGTCGTAGAAAAAATAACAAAAATTCCTCATCATCCTAATTGACACCTCCGTGGTAATGATTTCCAACCACAGAAATAAACAAAACTTTTAAATCATTGATTTAGAAGATGATTTAGAAGATTTTCATAAATTGTCGAAATTATTTTCAAGGCTGAATTGGATTAAGGTTATCATTGGATAAAATATATATTATAATCTGATTTTACTTTGACTCTAGTCATAATATTTAAAAATATCAAGCTTACTTCCAAGAAGCATAAGGATATGATTTTGTGCTTTTCAAAGGAAAAAGTCGTGAATGTGGGTTGCTTCTATAGAGAAATTATGCTGGCTTTAAGGATTTTCTCTGAAAGGATTTAAGATTTTTTTTAATCTCTCATCTGTCATGTCTGTTGCTTAGTTGTTATATAGGATAGGAAATGAAGGACATATAAATTGAATAAGTGCTTCCATTGTCTTTGACTTTTCTCATGAAAATGATATCAAATTTTCAGTCAATAAAGGAGACATTTAAGAAAATAGTTTGTATATTTTTGAAAGCTATTGAAATTATGGCGCAATTTTATGACTTAAAAAGCATGATTAACTTTGTCAATAAGATATTAGAAGGTTCTATTGTGTTCAATTATTAACTTAAACTTAATGAATCAAAATGTCAACAAATATTGTATAAAATCTACTAAAACTCATCGAAATGTTTATTAATTCTTGAAATTACAATTACTTTAAGATTTAAAATGAAAAAAAGCATCAAAAGAGTTCAACTATAAAATTTAAAACAATAAAATATTCCAACAAAATTTTGGCATCACTTCCTTCGCAGAATTCAGAATTCACACTTCACCCCCTTCCAACTGTATCATTCATAATTACAAGGTTAACTTGCAACTTTTTATCAAGAAATCATATTTATTCATTACACAATCAATTACATATTGCCAAATTTTCCATTATATATTCTGCGTAGTCTCATTCATAACATCATTTTGCGTTGGTAATAAAAATTACAGACATTATCTTATCTATCTCCTTTTGATTGCAACGAAGGAAACAAGCCTATAAATTATATCATATCCATTGAAATTTCTAAAAATAATATCTTCATTAAAATAATTTTTTATTCATTTTCTGTCAATGTAGGCAGGTGAATGTCTTATTCCATGTGATGAATGTAGGCGACATATTTTCCACATTTAAATTCAGTTCTTCTCGATGGAAAATTTTTATGCATTCCATATATTTACCATATAAATTGCATGAAGTAGCTTAAAAAAATAAATGTATATTTAGTAAGTAGATGTGGCGTATCTATTATTGAATCAATCACATGTAAAAGTACTTGAACACTCGTGTGTGTATTTTTTTTTTATTATTTCACTCTCATTCCATTGCCATGCTACTCGTTTTTCAATCATCCATCCATCCCTTAGAATCTCACTTGAATGAAGAATAAAAAAAAAGACGAGAAAAAACTTTTTATTCGATGATACTTAAGCTGTATAACAGGCACCACATTCTGTTGTGTTGAGAATTATATGTGATGTGCTTTATGCTTTGCTGTATCCATGCAGAACAGCAGTCTTTTTGGCTTTTTCTCCCTCTTGATACTTCTGCTGCTGCTTCTACTTATTCTTCTTCTTCTTTTGTTCGTTTTCTTTTATGCTATATAATGCTTATAATGTGTTTGGTCGGGTATATCGAACAGAATGAATGAATGATAGGTAAAGAAGATAGAAATGTTTCTGTTGTTGCTGTTATTATATGACATGAAAGGGTATACGTGTCTATACATATACAGCACTAACAGTAGCATAAATGAAAATCTCCTTTGCTTTCTTTTTCCTCCTTTCCAATTTCGGAACATCAAGAAGAAAAGTTTATTTGGAGAATTTTTTTCCTCTTTCCTCCATTGCCTTTACTGTTGGCCTCTGATGTTGTACAATTTTATGCCTCTTCATACATTTCACTTCTTTTTCTTTTCATTCCTTTTTCCTCATTCTTCCTTCTATTTCTCGTGTTTCGGCATGGTCGGAAGGGAATCGTCTTGTGACTTGCGCAATGATAATAATCTTGATGAAAATGTCTTTTATGTTTTATTTACTATTGTAAGGGATGCATAGATACTATCTCAGCTGAGCAAATAACAATAAAGGTTTAACATATAGAATAAAAGAGTTCAGACACTTCCTAATTAAAAACTTGTTTTTATAAAAAATTGATACCACTTCTGAAAATTCTTGTAAAGTTATTAAACCTGATGCACCAGGCAAATAATGAGACCCATCCAAAAAGACTATTTCTAAGTTTTTATTAGATTTTATATTAACAATATTCAGCAAACTGAGCAATATTCAGCAAATCAAGCAATATTCAGCAAACTGAGACATTCAGCAAATCGAGCAACATTCAGCAAACTAAGCAGCATTCAGAAAACTAAGCAATATTCATCAAACTAAGCAACAAACAAAATTCATGACAAAGCAGCACTCAGAAAATCACGTCAATTCCTTTTCTACCATCTAATTATGTCTTCAAACACCAAAAAGCACGACGACAAGTCATAATCACAATCACAAAACAGTTTCCATCTGACGGAGCATTTAGTACGCAGTCGAAAACGTGCTCTCGGAAAAACTTTGATTGAATGAAATATAAAAGCAAGCAGCAAGCGGTAGAATACATTCAGTATTTGTCGTGCAGCCAACGCGTTGAAATATTAACAAGGGAGCGTCGTTCGTTCGTTGCTCTCGGGGTTGTTATTAAAACAGGAGAAGAATAAAAGAGTACATTTTCATATTTTTCATTCTCTGTTCGTATTGTCGGCATAGCGTAGCATATTTATCATGTGATAGCTTTTCACTGATGATGTTCAACTTGTGCTCCCGTTTTATAATACAAAAAAATAAAGTTTAAATAAATATATATCATAATATACTTATTTTTTGGTGCCTCGCGCGCGCGAGAGTGTACAACACAACACAAATAATAGTAGAAGAAGGGTGCATCCACCCACCACACATCACCTCAACAGTATTTTATTTATTTTATATTCTGACATGTGTGTGAAAATTATAAAATAAATATAGCATTGAATAAAAAAAAAGGAGAATAAAAAAAAGTGCGGAATATTTATTATCCGGTTGATATGTTGAATGGCAGTGTGTGAAAAAATTTATTTTCATTTTTATTCGTCATTCAGCATCATTAAAAAATATAACATCAGATAAACAGTGTGTGTACATGTGTGTGCGATAGGCAGTGAATAAAGAGGAAGGATTGAAAAATGGATGATGTGATATGTGACATGATATGAGATAATGCATTAAAACATGATCCACTGTCGATAATAAAAAATACATAAATGTGTTTTTTTGCCATGAGCAAAATGCTGTGAACTTATTTTTTGACTGCTGCCGCTCGTTTATAAATTTATTATTCGAGTCATTCTCGCTCATTTTATGCACAATTTTGTGGTAGTCAAATTTAATTGCTGCTGCTGTTAATGCTGATTTTCATTTTATGTATGCATACGTGTGAATAATAATACTAATACACGATAATAATAGATTGTGAGAGACAATTAGATTATCAGCATCAATATTATTTTTTATGGATATACAGAACTGATGAAAAATTGAAAAGTGAGTGCAATTTAATTTTTAAACAATTAATTGGAAAAAAAGTCAAAATATTTAAAAGTGATATCGAGTAATTAGTCAGTCTGTAGGATGTGTAACAGTGTCGAGTAACGTAAATGAATTTTTCACTCAGCTATGCTTCACCATTTGAGAGCTTTTTGATGTAGCTATTGTCATTGTGAAGTTTAAATTATTCATTAAAAATAGAACATAATTATTAATTTTATGAAAAATTCTCGGATAGTGCTGTCATGGGAATTTTTCTTCACTGTGTACCCTTTGGAATGGTTTTAAGTGTTTTTGGAAAAGGGAATGTAATCTTTGAGCTGCATCTTTGGATTAATTGCTTAATTTTAAATTTAAACTTTCTTGGCCTAAGTTTCTGAGAATAAGTGAATGGCACATGATTAAGTTGTGAAACAAATATGGCACTTAGTGGCGAATATCTAGGACGATTGTCAATTTAATTACACTTCAAGTTTTCCAAACAAAAACAAATCCAGTCAATCTTACTTAGATATCCTATAAATCTTTATCATGCTCTCTTTTTAGGAAAATAATAATAAAAATGTGTGAAGGGTCCAGCCTTTCAGCTAGAAGCACTGCGATTGAATTTGTAAAGAAACTATTGTGCCATACCCTTTAGACCTTACAGTTTAAAGTGGGATCCAAACCAATCTTTTCAGGATACTAAGGCTAATTTAAGTATTATCAACCGCTCAAAAAGTCACTAGACTCTCTTCGCAACTTATTCCATGACTTAATTCCTCAAGCTATAAACTGTTTTAATCGATTAGTGTCTGAGTAATTGTTGGATCCTATAAAATCAGCTTCCAAGTAGCTACTTTATTTTAAAAGAATTATTTGCTATAAAAATCTCCAGAATTTCTTCTCAATTATTGCAAAAACTCCTTTGCATCCAATGAACAAAATAAGTTTCCAACTTTTAATGCTGCTCATTTTGCGAATGAGAATAACAAAGATTCCTTATATTCATCGCGACTTTTTCTTGCATATCCTTATTATTAATATTCTCAAGCGACCCTCAATCCAAATATCCCAAGATAGAATGAACAAGAAGAATGAACGACGCGACGAATAGGAGAACAAGTAGCATTACCACAAGTTGAATAAAAAGTAGAAGTGAAAAATAATAAATGAAAAATTTCTTTTTATTTCTCAAAAAAACTTCTCCTTCACTCTTCTTGCTCCGATCCTATTGAGATGAGAAACTTTTCTTTTTGATAAGAAAATAAAGAAAGCAGCGACAACGTTGTAAAAATTAAGGAAGAAGAAACAATAAAAAGTTTTTTTTTTATTCGCTCAAGAGTGAACTGTCGTCATTCCTCATCTTGCATACATACAGGCAGCAATGTCTATTTCGCTGATGCTTCTTTTGCTGCTGCTCTGTCTCATTCTATCAGATGATTTAAATTTCTTTTCTATTCAGTTGAGACCGAATGTTCTCAATTGTTAAATGTCATGGGGAGGAGGGTGGAAGGTGATGAGATATACGATGGGAAGCAAAATAAGTTGAAAATTATAGAATTTTGTGGTTGGTCTTTAACGCATTTTTTCTGTTGTGAATTCTAATTGATAAGATGTAGGAAGAATTGTTTTTGAGGTTAGAGTTTTCCAAATAAAAGTTAACGATTTAAAATTTTGAAATTTTAACGTTTTCTCAAAATTCAAATTTGTTCTATCAATGGCACGTGGGGAGTTTAAATCTAATTTTTAGACAAATGCCAATTATGAATTAATTCAAATTTTACAATAATGTGCACTATCATATTCAGATTCTAAATTCAAAATGAACTCCTATTCCGCAATATTACCACAAAATACTGATAACATCTTATTCAAATTATACACCCAAATCCACATCATTAATCATCACCATAATTATCCAAAGTGCAGCAACATTTCCGAACAATACCAACAAGAATCAGCTTAAAAAAATTATAATGCTGCGGAAGCGTGTTGTCGAAGTTATAAAATAAAAGCAAAAAAAAAATAGGAAAGAGAGGAGCATAAAAAATGAAAAGAACTTTTTTCCTTTCCACACCTTCTATCCACTCTACAGCAACACTCGTTCAGTGATTTCAATCTAATATAAAGCGATTATAAAATTGCGGTATGCCAGAGTGTCGGAGAGAAAAAAAACTTTGAAATATATAAAAAAAATCCACTTCACTTAGCTATTCTACTCGTTTCACTCCATTCCGTACACATATTTTAATGTGCTTTATGATTCTCGACCGAAAAGGACATAATAGTGAAAATGAGAGAGTATGCGGTGTGGTTTGGTTTGGGGATAAAGAGTAGAAAGTTAATTGACAAAAAGTAAAGGGAAAATTGCAGTTACGTGCTAATGTGTTAACTTTTTAATTCCTATAATAACATTCCTAGACTTTCAACCTAGACACAATGATGTGTGTACGTATGTTGAGCTCAGAAAATAATATTGTTAAAACTATCCGCTGCACACGCGAAAATGGTCGTTGTTTGCTTTTATCTTTTGTCTGTGTACACTAAACTACTGACTGACTATATATGCGGTGACATAAAGTTCACAGAAGCAATAAAAAAATTAATTTCTTTTTTTTTTCATTTTCATTTTCATTTTCGCAGTCAAGCTAGCCAATTTTATTTCATTTCTGACACATAACGAAGTTGTGCTGAAAACAACATACAACGGGGGCTTTGGAATAGGAAGGAACAGATTCAGACACATATAGTGAAGGAAACAAAGTGAGTGAGAGAGAGAAAAATGACTGCAAAAAAGGATTCAACAAAAGCGAATAAATTTGAACTGGGTAAATGATTTTAATCCTCTTAAAATAAAAAATAAAAAAAGAAAGGAACTGTATGTGTATATATGTATACATCTGTATATGCTCAGAGGTTTTCGTGGCTGAGTGCCTTTTTTCCAACAATTTATTTTTCAATTCCTCATCACTTTCCTCTTGCCAGAATGGAAGAACTGAATGTTTTTTTTCATGGCACAGCCGCAAAGTCAATTTTCTACGACTTGTACACATATACACATACCTACTGAGTCTCGTTGTAGATTAAGTGTAATGTATAATAATGATAATCACCATCAGGTGCCGGAATAAAATTGGCTCCAACATCAAATGCCAACAGTATGAATATTGAAGGCAGCGAACCGAAAAGAGCTAATAAACCGCTAATGGAAAAACGACGCAGAGCGAGAATTAATCAGAGCTTAGCTGTCCTTAAAGCACTCATCGTAGAGACTAATGCCAAAAATTGTAAAACTGTTGATGGACAGAAGCAGAAGCACACAAAATTAGAAAAAGCTGGTAAGTCCCAATTTGGATTAATTCCTTTTGTGTCTGACGGAATTTATGTCCACAAGAAGATTTGTGCCTAATGTAATATTTTTTTAAATCATCCACAGATATCCTCGAAATAACAGTCCGAGAATTCCAACGTCATAGAAATTTAGAATGTCCAGAAATAGATAAATATCGTGCAGGTTATTCAGACTGTGCACGTGAAGTAGCAAGATATTTAGCCACACCAGAGCCATTGCCATCAGCAACAGTTCCATCACTTAATGACCCCGGTTCAAAAGCACGTCTCTTGAGACATTTAGATGCATGTCTTCTCGAGATCGATAGTGAGATATCAAATGCGAAGGAACATCCAGTGGTATCAAGAGATTATCTTCGTACGCCATCAACTGTTCAAACAGAATGTAGTCAGGACTCGATAAATCCACTTGATTATAGTAAAATTAATCATGATGGAGCATTAAATTTAACAAAAAGTCTTAATAGTCCAACGCCCACGAGTAATCATTGTATAGCATCCACAACAAATACAACAAACAATGGCAGTTCGGGAGATGAAAACAATAATGGACAACAGCAGCGTATTTATGGCGAAAGTACAACAAGCACAACAGCATCACCGACATTAACAGTAAGTGGCATTGGTGACAATTTTTCATCATCATCTCTCCCAACCAAGCAACAACAATCGCAACAGTCAGCAAGCAAAAAAGCGCCTAACAAAGCAATTACCAGCAGTAAACGGAATAAATCATTTGTTGACAAGAGTGGCGGTAGTGATGAATCAGTGGCAACATCACAGTCTCCAATACCGCCGAAAAAAGCGATGATAAAATCTGTTGAAAAGGAACGAATTGCGGTAATAGAATGGAAAAATGTTTTTCACTTTATTTTTTGATGCTTGCTTATTACTTTAGCTTCTTCTTATTGTTAAACTTTTTATTTTCCTCATTTTTATTAAAGCTATGTTTTACAATCCGTTCTTATTATTGGAGATTTATTGAGTTTTTCATCCAGTTTGTCTAGATAATTTGAAAAATCTTCTAGTTGTTATGGCTCCATCCAATAGTAAAGTAATTAGCATCCCAATTATGCGCTCTAACCACTCGAGAACTAAATTCCATACAGTAACTCATTCGTTCATTCTTCTGCGTTCATCATCAGTCTGAATTTTACGGGTGGGTGGGTTAAATGAGCACAAACAATAAAAAAGGAGAATGGGAGGCGAGTGGTAGTCGGTTTTTTTGTTGTTGCTATTGTTGGTAGATTTTGTGGCATGATGTATAAGAGGAAAACAGTAACAGCACATTTAACATTCTGTCCATGTTGAGCGCACTTGCCAAGTGTTTTGAAGCAAAGGAGCGAAATGATTAATTGCCCCATTTTTATGGAGAACTGAATCTCAATTTGTTTGCTTTCATTTCTAACTGAATAGTAGAACAATAATGTGTAGTGCTGTGTACACAGACAATCTGATTTTTCCTGCTTTCTATCGGTTTGGTTTTCCTTCTCTCTCCTCTTTCATCATCGTCATTGCAATAGTCGTCTCAGTCGTCGCTTTTGCTCATCTCCCATTCTCTTGATAGATGCTTGTACATACATATTTTTTTAGCAATGCGATGAGATAAATGCCCTTCACTGGTTGAGACGCGTTGAGGGTTTCTATTAATGTTTTGTACGGTTCGAGAAAGGAATGGAAAGATAGAATCGTAAAAACAAGTGAGATGGGATAGCGTGAAGGGATGAATTTATAATGAATCGTGATTTTTTAGCAATTGAATAACTTTTGACTTTTTCGACCTCCGGATGAACCTCAAAAATATTTAAAACACCATTTTTTTGCTGCCTTTTCCTCTTTTTTTTTTGTTCAGCACGCAAACATAAATTTCTATGAATGCATTCCATGATTTCTAATTTTTTTCATAATATTTAAATAGCAAGAAGCTGCTGCTGCTGCCGCCCTATCAGAACTTCCAAATCAAAGTCCTTCATCACCATCTACAATGGCACCACAAAATTATGTACAACAATTAGCCTCTGCACTCGGTCTAAACAATTCAAATATAGCAACAACAGATTTTGAAAGTCTCATTGAAATGAATAGACGACAACAGGAACAGCAATTGAGTGTGAGTATTGAAATCAGACATAAATTTTAAATTGCATAGGCACGCATCATTGTTGTTTGTCACTTCTCGTTTTAAATTATTCTATTAGTAGATGATTTAGAAAATAAATACAAAATGCAATCGAAAAGGGGATGCAGGCCGCAATTTTTGAGTTTGATTCGTGTTATGATATTAACTTTATGAACCTTTTGTGAAATCATGCGAGATTTAATGAGGCATTATTTGTTGTTATAATAAAGCAGTAAATTGAGTAATCAAAAGTCGAATCTTGTCAGTAAATAATCCTTAAATTGCTCCGTTTTGTTAAATTTTAGTTTAGTCAACAAAATTCATTCAGTGGGACATGAGTGAATTCAGAAATAAAAGAGTGCGTTCAGGAAAAAACAAACGTTTGTTTAAAATTTGTGATTCCGTTAACTTAAAATTGATTTAAAATCAATTTCTTTGTCTTTACTCATTCTGTTCATGATTTCAAAACTTTAGCTTATCCTTCGATTGAAATTGATTTTCACCATTTTCACATTTAGTAAATTACATGACAAAACAATACAAAACAGACAAAAATCTTCTTAACATCTCATTCTTCTCTTCTTTATTTCCTATCCAAAAAATAAAACAATTTAGCAGACGAACAACATCAATAGCAACAATTCAACCTCGCCAGATATTCCAGTCGTTCACACTCCAAACGAATGGGAGATGTACAAAAAAATTCTCAGTATGAGTACGACACAAGCGACAGCGGGAGGATTAAATAAAGTGGAAAATGCCAACAGCACAATAACATTGAAGGATTTAAAGGCATCTTCGCCAATATTAACGATTCATCAAAGTCTCATAGTGAACAGTAATAGCAATCATAGCAGTAGTGATCTGGATGTTAATGATGAAAATGCTCCATCCAATTTTCCAGTCGAGAATGTTACTAATAATAGTGATAAAGTCATTTACGAAAGCCCATATGAGAGGCCATTAACGTCTATTCATATATCACCGCCTGCGATTCATCCTCATCATCATCACAATAGTAATCTAACGCACGTTGCTGCATCACCACCACTACTACAAACAACAGCAATAACAAATGCTATAAAGATAGAAGGCGAAATAGAAACGGATTATGCCCTCCAGCACACGTATCCAACAGTTCACAAATCGATTCATCACACAATAACAACAACATCAACGACGACGCATTATCGTGACATAATGGTTGATGAAAATCTTGAAAATAAACAGCAAAATTCTGTGAATGAGGAAGATGACGTATGGAGGCCCTGGTAAAAAAAAGGGAATAGTAGAAACGTCTGAGTTGTAAATTGTCAATCGAAAAAAAAAATAAATGTTCGTGTTCACCCTGCCATACATCCAAAGAATAAAACTTTTAAATGTATCAAGTTATAGAGTATAGAGAATGGAAATTCTTCTGAATATTTTTATGTAAATAAAGGCATAATCTAAAAGCAGTGAAAAATTAGCATCTCTAGTAGACTTACTGAATACATATTCTCACTTCTTTTTAGATATCATACATGTGTGGCATCTACATGCTTGCCTGAATCTAGAGAAACTTTTCATTTTCACTCTTACTCCTCTTGGCTTTAGGGGTTAAACAGACAGAAACGAATTGGTACGAATGAATGGAAACATAGAAAATGAAGCACACACAAGATGAACAATTTACTCAAGTGATGGAAATAAAAGGGATTTTGGGGGGAGGTGGTAGGATATGAAGGATGAATAGTAAAAATAAAGAGGGGAGAAAAAGTGTCACCAACGGATTGCGGTTTTAAAATTTCCCATTGTGTGTTATTATATATTCTCTTCCGATTTTGCAGCATACAGCACAAAAAAAAAATCTCGACGTCTCCTATGAATCTCTCTTTTTCTTTCCTCATCTCCTGCTTAGTCTGAATGTCTCATTCATTCCATTCACATTCTTCCACTTTATTTTATATTGGATAGAAGAAATAGACACACATATTTTGTATAGAAATGCTCGAAATTCTCTTTCAGCACTGCAAAATCTATGTTCAAATTAAAAAAAGGAGATGAGCAGCACATAAAAAGGGGAAAAAAAAGAAATACAGAAGTTCTTATTCATTTTTTATCATTCCATTAATTCAATTTTTTTCTGCAATGTAGATATGTTCTCGGTCTGTTATTGCCACTTACTGCTGTGCAAGCTATCCATTCTGTTTGTTCTTGTTGTTGATTTTGTGGATTTTGCATCGTTGTCTTTATGGTAATATTGGGTTTTAAATGTTTTAAAGTAACTTGTAGAAGCACAAGCTTATCTTTGTGGACGTGATTGGTAGCGAGAATAATTGAGATTAGAGTGTTGTAAGGTCTGTTGAGATGAATTTATTTGCTTTTGAATCAAAGGGTATGAATATTTGCATCCATTGAATATTTTGTGCGAATATGATTATAAATTTAGACTTCTAGATTCATATAGAATTTAAAAGATTGTAAAGATGAATAGCTTTAAACTAATACCACTGGACAAATACGTTACGCCTGATATTTGAATTAGTTCTAAAATAAGAACCATTAGAACTCCTTATTTTAGAACTTGATGTCCGTTAAAATTTTAACAATAAATTGATGTTATTGCATTTTTACTTGCTTTAGCTACTTTTAACTACTTAATATACAAAGCTAAGGTCAAAAACTATAAGAAGATTGAAAGTAGAACAACTAAAACGTAGTCAAAGACTTCATTTTAGGAAAAATTTATTTTTCCAAAGCTTAAATTTTCAAATCAAAGATTTGAATCGATTTGCAAATTCAAACTTTAAGCCTTTTCAAAAGCTTTTTAACGGATAAAAGTGCTATTCAGAGGTATTGGACTTTAAAAAAATCAGAAAAATCACATTTTATTGTGTGTTCTTTAAAGGTCGCTTCCTGATGACATTCGTTTCAATTTGTTTGGCTCAATACCCCTCTTCTAGTTCTGTTCCTAGATGTACCCTAGCAGAAATTTACTAATAATTTCCTAGTAATTTACTGGATAACTTTCCATTTGCTACTTGCTATTTACTAGTCAAAATCCAAGTTCAAATCATCGCCAAAGACCCGCATTTTCACTTGCTAATTGACTAGTCAATTCGCTTACAATTTAACTAGTAATTTACTAGCAAATTTTTAAAAAAATTAAATGAATATAACCGTTGATTTCCACGTGTTCTTTTGATTTTTTTTATTTGTGTAAATTTTTGTAAAAGTATTAGTGTGTTCTTATTTAAAGTTAATTAAAGTACACTAACACTATGAAAAAAAAATAAAAGACTTAATTTAATTAAGTCGAATACTGATGAACACCCATGACTCGCACGCAAACCTGAGGAAGATAAATAATTAATTGAAAGTCACATACAAATTTGGATCGACCTTATAAAGGTGATTTCTGCGCGCTCTTGTGAAGTATATGGCCAATGCCAAATTTAGAACAAAATTTTTTATGACGCAAAAAATTCTTTTTTCGATGATTTTTCTTAGGATTCGAACTTAAGAAGATTTGATCAAACATTTTATATGGCAATATGCTAGTAATTTGCTAGTAAATAGCGAGTGTAATTTTCTAACAGTAAGTTGTTTTAATAATTACTAGTAAATTGCAAGTAGTAAAATAGAAAGACTAGCAATTTGCTAGTTAGTCTCGCTAGGGGTAGGTGAAAAACAATGGCACGAACTTAAGACCTCTCGTTACCTTCTATAATTCATCAATTAGTCACTTATTTGCATACATGATTGTCGTTCATACAGTTGAAACTATTCATATTTTCTAACATTGAACTAAGATTGATCATAAAATCTACCCGAAATTTTAATTACTTCCAGCTAATCAATTCGATCCATTAAACAAATGCCATTGTTATATAAAAATCGACGCTTTTAAATGAAAAACCAAAACATGAAGCTTTCTATACAGTCATTCTAAATTGATTGAGTGCAACACTAGCTGCTATTAAATGTTACAACCATCCATTACTGCAAAAAACATTCTTTTTACACCAATATCCGTTATATACCAGCATTTTGATCAGTATGCTGATTTGCTATTTCAATGATTCACTCCAGAGACTATTCGAATGCGACAATCGACTTAATGTGGATCGAGCAAAAAAAAAGAAAAAAAGAAAAAGAGAAAAAATGTCGAGAGTGTCTATAAAATCGAATTGAAAATGGAAAGATGATGATAACGAGCAAAAGCTACAATGTCAAATGGACATAAACGGAATGGAAATTTAAAGGGATTTATCGACATTTTGAAATCAATCTACACGAAATTAAATTGCTGTATGCTCGATTCGTATCCATATAAATTTATGCTAACGAGTAGGGCAGTAGCAGCTAGCAGGGATGAAGTGCGGGACGAAAATCATATCTTATTAGAAATCAATTAAATTCCCTCTCGTACAAGAGTCAATTACCGCTTACCGTTGCCTTGTTTTGCTTTTTTTTTTTGCTTTCTCCCAAATGTCATGAAATTTTATGGCGCATTGAAAAGACCGCACAGTACCGCACCTTTCAATATTTTCCACCCTAAAACTCTTCATGCCACTCAATTTCACATTCTATGCTCATTTTATACATCCCATGTTTGAAACCGACAAACGATGTACGAAGAATAAGAGGAGAAAAGCGTGCAGTAGAACAAAAAAAAGGACAGAAAAAATAAATTTCACCTACCTTTCAGCTTGTCTTCATCTGCTCTTGCTATTACTATTCCGTTCTGTTCATTTTCGTTCTCCACCCCATCTCCGATCTGTGTTATATGCCATAATCATCTTGCCGCCCTTTCATTGCTATACTTTCACCCACTCCATCCACACTTATAATGCTTTTCCGTACCACACACCACTCATCATCATCTCCAAACTCAAAACATCAAGTCATCTTTTTTTCCTTTTTCCCCAAACGCCTGTGTGCACATCACCGATTCAAATGGCTCAGTCTCATTTTTTTTTGTATTCTGTGCTGCCTTTTTTTGCTTGCTTTTTCCTCTTCATGAAATATCTACCCTGAAGGCGAACGAACAGAATGAAAATGAAGAGGAAAGGAAGGAATGAATAAGAAGAATATTATAGCTCTCACTATGTACATTCACGTCTATATCTGTACAGAGCATTCTCATACACATTTTTCCCATCGTCATGCCTCGCTTTACTGATGCTACTGCTGCTTTTTTTCCTTTTTCTCTCCTCACATTTTCTCCTACCACTCACATTCATCTTCAACCCTGAGCACAACAAGGAGAGGAGCACAAAATGCCACCATATCAATACCACCCACAATTCAACACAGCCAGAAGTAATCGGCACTATGGTGTTGATATGGATACGCTTATTTCTTCGTATTATTTTGGTAATAATATTTAATGGATGAAGATTTATTGGGAAGAGTTTTATCGTTTTCGAGATCAAATTGGATGTAAATTATTTTTCTGTGGGTTTTGGATTGAGTGGGATCATGTTGATATATGGAAGGTGCAGTTGCTGGGTGAATGTATGAATCTTTTTGAGACACAGAAATGAAATTTAAATTTATTTACTTCGTGGAATCGAGGTTAAATTTTCAGAGTCATTCCAGAGCTCAATGATTCAGGTTTGAAAAAAATGTTCAAAAATTCAAAATTTTCATATTAATTAAACTTTATTTTTCGAATGCCAGAATAAAGATCTTAACTTGAGGCATATCCTATGAAAATATCTCGTCCCAATTTGATGTCTAACTCCAGAAACCTTTAATTTATTCTTACCAAAAATTTGTTTACAATTTGTATATGAAAAAAATTCTTTGATTTTCTCTACTTTAGGTTGTTATTTCGATATCCTGTTAGTTGTTGCTAGCTAAGTTAAGCTTAGAGTTGCATATTGAAACTACCAAATCAACAGAAACCTGCTTATTAAGTCTTAAAAATTCAATTGAAATCTGAGTATTTTTTACAAAACTTTAACTATTCATAAATTAAAAAGTCTTCCAAAGTCTTCTCTGAAACCTATATAAATCAATTAATTAATTGTCGTTTAATGCCGTTTTCGAGATATTTGCGATCAAAATTTACATAAATTTTCATACAAAATTTGGACATGCACAATATTTTTTGATAAACTTTTACATACTTTTGCTCTAAAATCATGTTTATCCTTTATATTATGGACTGAGTTTTTGAGCAATTAATGAAAACATTATGTAAAAGATGCTTAAAGCTTCAAATCCAAAAAAAAATAATAAAAAACTTTCAATTTTCTAATGTGTCAGAAAAATATTGTGCACAAGGAATTTTTAAACACTTTTTTTAAATCTGAATCTTGTCTGAATCATTGTGCAGGGTCTATTTTCCTTTAAAATTTGTCTGTGAAGCTTCAAAAGGAACACAACATAAATATCTAATTTTTATTAAAAGACTTTTTACAAATGCATAGTGCTGAATAAATAATTAGTATCATCCATATCAACTGTG